AGAAAGTCCAGAAGTATTTCACAAGAAGAGTTCTCCACTCTTCTACCCGTTGTAGAATACCTTATGCCACCAGACTCGAAATTCTAAAACTAGAAAACCTCGAATTACGCCGTCTTCGGTCCGACTTAAGCATGGTATATAAAATCATACATTGCAATGTCCTACCTGTCAATGAATACTTCAGCTTTAACCATAACAACACAAGAGCACACAACAGATACAAACTCAAAGTAAACCGCACCAAACTTGATTGCAGGAAATACGACTTCAGCAATAGAGTGGTCAATGTCTGGAATACTCTACCCGACTCTGTAGTCTCTTCCCCAAACCCCAAAAACTTTAACCTTAGACTGTCTACTATTGACCTCACCCCTTTCCTAAGAGGTCTGTAGGGGGCGTGCATAAGCGCACCAACGTGCCTACCGTCCCTGTCCTATTGTTTCTCTTATTCTTTTATTTTTCTTATATGTACCCATTTCATATATTCACAACTATGTATACACTTGTACTTATTATCTTGTAAACAATTGACAAATCAAATAAATAAATAAATAAAATAAATAAAATAAATAAAATAAAATAAAATAAATAAATATCAGGCATGTTTTTCACAAGATGCCAGTTCTGTTTGAATCTTAAAGGCCCATAAGGTACTAACCTGTTCATTTTCCAAAACCTTTTTCAACCTGATGGTCCAATTAGTTTTTCCTACCTTCAAATCCAAATCACTGGCAAAGTTTCCAGTGAATAATTCTGGCAGTTCTGTCATGATGATGATTGTAATCAGCTTGTGAAATTTTACTGTAGCTAATAATCAAAGAATCAATTGTTTTCATCTATTTTACTAGAAAGGCAACATTTGCTGTTGTTTGTCATAGTTTGATTTTTCACCTTTGCAATCAATTACCAAAGCTTTTTCTTGAGCCATTATAATAAAACCTTCAATTTGCTTCTTTTAACACTTAAAATACTCCATGTTGGGTTTTTATTGGCTTTTCTTTCTATTTCAAGTATTGACTAAACATTGGCTTGTTCTTCCAATTAACACATTGGTTTTCAGTTGTCTCTTTTCTATGTTCAGCCTTCACCTTTAAAGTTTTCAAGAGCCTTCCTTGATTAACTTCCTCAATAAGAGTTTTTGGCTTTTTAAAATCAAACTATTCTTCTCAACCTCCACAGTTTGATTCTATAAGCTCTAGGCAAATAGAGATGATCAATATCACTTTTTGGTTACAAAGCAAGGTGCATTTTCATTAGTTTTCTCCTCTTCCAATCCATATTACTAAGTTTCATTTGGATCCATTCCTGATGTATATTGAATAATAGAGACTGCTCAGGTATTAATTGCTTTAATGATGTTTCCACTATTTAGCTTTGATTTCAAAATTTTCTAAACTCTAAATATTTGGTAGAAATGTTTTCTTTGATTTTATTATTATTGTCCTGTACTCCAAATATATGTAAAGGTAAATGTTTCCTCTATCTAGTTGTTTCCAACTCTAGGGGATGGTTTCTTAGTTAAGTGAGCCAGCAAGACATTTCCGTGATCATGTAGCCAACATGACTATACACCAAGGTGCACAGAACACACTGTTATCTTCCCACCAAAGTGGTATCTATTTGTCTGTTCACATTTGCATGCTTTCAAATTGCTAAGTGGGCAGGAGTTGAGACAAGAATGGGATCTTGCCGTTACACAGCACTCAGATCTCAAACCCAGACTCAGCATTTTTAATCACTGAGCTATCATACCACCTACTCCAAATATAAAAGATTCCAAATATAAAAACTTATACTGCATGCTACTGAAATAAAATATTTCCTGTAAAATCTATTTCTATCATTTGAGAAGTAAGTACCAGTGAATTCAGTGAAGCTACTAGTAATAGGGTTAGAGGTTTTACAGTGCAAATCTATGCAGGTCTAGTCAAAAGTAAATTGATTCATTAAATTTCATGGATTATAATTTGGAAAAGTGTTCAAGAGTTACAGATTAAGCATTTGCACTTTGCAGACTGACTTTAGATCAGGGGTGTCAAACTCGATTTCATTGAGGGCCACATCAGGGTTGTGTTTGACCTCAGGGGGCCAGGGTGGGCGTGGCCAGTTTGACATCACTAATGTCAGGGGCATGTGTGGTGGCCCAAGTGCTTTGCCAATAGAAACGGGCTCTTGAACTCCATTTTCGGCTGCAATGACCTCCTGCAACAGCTGTTTTTGCTGGCAGAGGCACCATAGGCCTGTCCTTCACTGTTTCCAGGGTGATTCCATAGGCCAGATCTAAGCACCCCATTGGCCGGATCTGGCCCCTGGGCCTTGAGTTTGACACCCTGCTTTAGATGCACTACATAAAATAAGACTTTCCAAAATAAATATTATATTGCAAATATTTCAATATGTATGACATATTGCATAGAATTATAATATGCAATATTTTCTTTCTTATAAAGGTAATTTACCTTTAATGTCATCAATGTATTTTTATATCATGTAAATACATATTATCTGAGCCATTAGTGAAACTTAATTTTTCATAAACAAATACATAGGCCAACTCAGAAGTTATGAGACTTGAACTTAAAGAAAACTAGAGGTTTCTACATTGGGAAATATAATTTTAATATCTCTTAACATAAATTAAAAACCACAGAACACAGCAAGGAGAACATGCTATTCGCTCAAAGAAAGCAACACTATTTAAATCAGTGTTTTTCAATTTGGCAACTTTAAGTTGTGTGGACTTCAATTCCCAGAATTCTCTAGCCATCAAAGTATCTCTTCCAGTCTGAACAACAAATAATGATCTGATACCATTTTACATGCCCTTTGCTTATTCAGTATTAGATCTTGAACCTATTCATGGAAAACCTCTGAAATGAATTAAAAGGATGCCATCATTATACAAAAAGGATGCCATCATTATACAAAAAGATGCTGAGCATACAGCGCAGAGAAGGCAAACAAAGACAGTAAGGTGTCTGATGTCAAATCCTATGAACAGCAAGTAAAGGAACTTGGTATGTTAGTTTAAAGAAGAGAATGACAAGGAGAGACACGATAGCACACTTCCGATAGGTGAAAGGGTATCTCAGGGAGGAGACAATTGATTTATTTTCTGACATCTGAAGGTAAAGACAAAAACCAATAGAGGGAAGCTTTATAGTGAAAAATCCAAACTTGAATCAAGTTCAAGATACCAGAGTTTCCTAACTGTGACAACTCTTAAGTAATGGAACAGGCTGCCTCCTGAAATTGTGGGTGCTCTATCACTGGAGATTTTCAAGAAAAGACCAGGCCTCATACCACTAGGCCATTTGCCCAGTATGGTGTGAGGATTCCTGAGCTGGCCAGGAGGTTGGACTAGATGATCTCCACGTTCTTTTCCAACCTGATGATTATAAGAGAATATTGGTAGTTCACCTTCATGTTATTCACAACATTGTCAGAGAATCTATGGTAACTATCAAAAGAAGAAATGCTTAAATGTATCTTTGAACAGTAAGTTTACAAAATCTTTTTCTTAGAAAGAGGTGCAATGAATCAGAAACACTACCTATTATCTAATGTCATAGTTCAAGAGACTGACATATAGATCCAAATAATAGTTGGTTGTCCCAATTTCTGTTGGAACAACAACACATGTCTGCAACTGAAACAGTTTCTACTATAAAAGTGTGCCAAATATGCTCCAAAGCCCTGGGAGAGCCTTAGAAAGGATTTGACATATGCAGGGAAAGAGAAGAGCAAAGGTTCTATTGTCCAAGCTAAAGTTTATTCACAAAATACTGGATTTAGACTGGTATGTATGGGCATTTTTCTTTCAGAAATGTTATCCAAAACAAATTCAGGCTTAAAGATAAAGATTCAACAATTCAACCATGAGTATATACCAATTTTTCAAATCTATGCTACTACTTTAATTCTAATAAACATTATTGAAAATGTCAGTAATACATTTATTCCTTTTTAACAGTTACTACTTGGAATATCTTGCTGTAATTAAAAAATATCTACTTTTATTAGCCTTTTAAAAACACCTGTCCTTATTGGTTACTATGAAAAGGAAGGAAACTTGGCCTTAATGGCACTCCTGAATCAGCCATAGCTTTCAAGTAGTATATTGTTCCTATTTGATTGAATTTGCCTTCAGAACATTAGTGGTCATGAAGGTTGAAAAAAGAAGCTCTTCATTCCCACTTTATCTCTGACCCAAATTCATAACAAGAACAAAACAACAAGAACAACAAGAGTATTGGTCTGTGTTACATAGCTGCTGTGGTGGATATAATGCATCAGAAACACTAGATAACTATTGGCAACTACTGGATTTGTCAAACCAAAAAAATACAGAGATCTTTATGAAAGCCCAGGAGCATATTAAGCATATTAAGCCTTATAGCCATAGATGCTAGCTTTTTTTACCACCAGAATATCATCTTTTAAAAGAGTTATATTTAAATTGTAATGTGTAATCCAAAACTAGCATTAGCCTTGCATTAAAGAACAGCATGGAAAGAAAAGCTATGAAATAAAGAGTAACTCAAATGAGCAATTCAGTTAATTTTCAATCTCCACACTTGTTGGTTCGAGTTTTGCACATACAAATAGAACACAGAATCATAGGGCTACGAGAGTCCTCAAGAGCTCTTCTAGTCCAACCCTTTGCTCAAGGCAGATGACCTTATACCACCCTGGTCAAATGAGTCAACAATACTGTCGTTCATTAGGCATCCTCCAGGATGTAGCTATCAGCATCCTATTATTTCTGAGCTAACAGACAAAGGCAATCTCCAAACTAAAACAATTCTTGGTCCACTCTGCAGGGGAGATACAATGGGAAGGCGGGTCGCGGGCATCCGGGATGGAGATATAACCCGCAAGCGTCCCGCGCCTCCAGTAGCAAAGCGCCCCCTTATGTTTATGATCGGAAAAGGTGGACCAAAGGTCCCGGGCGGCTGCTTATCTGTGTCACTGTGCCAAGCGCCGCCTGCGCGGCTTACCTGGGGTGCCCGTGCCGGGAGGAGAGGTGGGCGCGTGTGTCCAGGAGGCGCCAAACGCCAACGCCAACGCCGCTGCTGCTGCTGCTGCTATCCGCGGTGGCGACCAGGCTGCGCGGACTGTCCCCCTCGCCGCTCTCGAGTTTGATTCGACCACTGTCCCCTGAGCTTCTGCGGCTTTTTCCCTCCTGCCAAAGGCCGGGTAAACGCTCCCTGACGCACGCCAATGCGTCGGGGAAATGGGGCTCCGCCGCTTTTTTGAACCCGGGCTTGTTGGTGGAGCTGTCGCCGCGGCTATTTCTGCGCCCGCTGTTTCTCATGGTGTGAGGGGACGCCGCATGCCGGGCTCCGGCTTCCTCCCAGCGCTGGCAGCGCAGTCCCGTGAGGGACGAAAAGAGAAGCTCGGGAGAGACGCGCAAACGGCCGCGAGCCTCCCGAGGAGGACGCTGGACACCGGGGGATGGCGGTGGCGCCCGCTGCTGCTGCTGCTGCTGCTGCCGGTAACGCAGGCTTCTCGGAGAGCATTAAGTTGCAGGCGCACCGATTCCAGCAGCGCCGTTTTGCCTTGAAACTTGCTGTCCCGGCGACCCGAAGGGGACATTCTCCCAGCAGCGTCTCAGGCGCTCCCACCCTTAGCCGGGAGGGAGGAAGGACGGCTGGGCGCAGTTTGGCGCCTCCCGACTCCCCTCAGATCATCGGGGGGCCTCGCGCGCCTGCTCGCTCGCGTGGCCTGCCTGCTTCCAGCGGGAATGGGAAGCGCGGGGCTGTTGATGTAGTAGGGCGGGGGAGGCTGGAGCGGGAGGGTTCCCCGGTGCTCGCTGCCGCAGCTCGGGAGAAAAATCAGCCGGAATCTCTAGCCGGAGACAAGCGAGAGCAGCGGGGCGAGAGGCAAGCGACGAAATGGGTCACCGCGGGCATAAAAAGCGCCGTCGGATCGCCTCCCACGGCCCGGGAACCAACCAACCAACCAAATCAATAAATAAAGTAGGCTTCGCTTCCTTGAGCGCCAAGAGAGAAAGTTGCCGAGGGTTGGCGGCTGAAGGAGGGCTCCCTCCCGACGGTGCCTTCCCGCTTCTCTTGTTTTTGCACAAGTGCAGGAAATGCTCCACTGACCTACATATTTTCCCAAACATCCGTGACCTCCCCCGGGAGGAGGAGAAAAGGGAGGATCTAAAATCTTTGGGGATGAAGGCTTGAGCGAAGACCAAATCCTGGATAATGCCAATAGAGCGGTGTGTGTGTGTGTATGTTTTCTTTTCAATGCTGAGGACAGAGAGGAAATCAAACAGGTAACTGATTTGCTCTGACCAGGAGGACGTGCTGGAATTTAACATGCTATTTGCGTGCTTTGTATCAGAAAATCTGTGGAGATTCTCAAGTCATGCAGAGCTCCTTCAGCTCTGCAGAAGCCGAAGAAAATTATTGGATGAGAAGCCAAACGGCTTCAAAGAAAAACCAGAAAGTCCAGTTGCCTCTTGGAAAAAAAATATCACCTTTTATATCAGTAAGGGCTGCTGGCTTAGATGTCTGTACTAAACCTTGCAAACTTTTCAGATAAACTAACCAATTTACCTGTTTGTCCTTCCAGATTATGACCCTGCGAAAATGAACTGGGGTTTTGAATTTTATTTTTAATTCAAAATTTCATTTGTAAAAAAAACTACAGATTCTGGACTTCCTATTAAACTTCCAGGGATAAGTTTCCTAATTTTGATAACAAGTTTCAAGATGAGTTACATTTCTCTGCTGTTAGACAACACACTCATAAAATATAATTATAGTAGGTTTAAGTTCAACTTTGGGATTAAAAGTGCTATGGTGTTGTTTTTAATGAGTCAGTTACTAATTTGAGAAGTTTTTAAGCAAACCCCTACAATTGCTGGATTCAAATTATGCGAGTAGTTTTAATATTAAGCTTGGTTGAAATGTTTTATTATGATTGAAATACAATATTCCCACACTTCTTTCATATTCATTTCCACACTAAACTTGGTTGAAATGTTTTATTATTATTAAAATACAATATCTCCACACTTCTTTCAAATTCATTTCCAGCAAGTAAAACAGATAGTGAGAAATAAAGACAGAAAAAGAAAAAGGAGCAAGCTACAAGATGTGCATAATCTGAAGAGAAGCAATTAAAAATAAAATAATTCTGTAACATTTGGACTAATTGCCTTTAGATTTCATTCTAGTATCATGCATTCTAATGTTCTTTATAAAAGGCGAGGTCATTAAATTCCAGTATTAGAAAGGGAGCTTACAAAATCTTTACTTTTTTACAAGATATAATTTCCCACAGGGATCATGGTTTGCCTAGAAGAAAGATTAGCGGTTGAATTTTACATTAAGCTCCAGGAAATATGATCAGCCTTAACATTACAAACCAAGGGTAGAGCTGTGGTGAATAGTCTACAGCAGTGGTTCCCAAAATTTTTCAGTCCACCGCCCCCTTGGTGCGACAAACTCGTCCTCAGTGACCCCCACCAGGGGTGGGATTCAAATTTCTTAATAACTGGTTCTGTGGGTGTGGCCTAATTTGTGGGCATGGCTGGCCCCCTTGCCTCTTAGCGCCCCCCTAAGGCATCCCACTGCCCCCCAGGGGACGGTACTGCCCACTTTGGGAACCACTGGTCTAAAGTGTATAAACTAAAGTCAGCTGCAAGAGTTGTTTGAAAATGCAATCATCTCCCTGAAATACAGGTAGTCCTCAACTTACAACAGTTCATTTAGTGACCGTTCAAAGTTACAACAGCACCAAAAAAGGTTAGTTTAGTTTATTGTCATTCCACCTTGTACAATGAAATTAAATGTCATCCTCAGTGACCATTTTAATGACCACTTATGACCATTTTTCACACTTATGACCATTGCAGCATCCCAAAGGTCACGTGATTTGCATTCAGATGCTTGACAACTGACTCATATTGATGACGGTTGCAGTGTTCAGGAGTCATTTTGTGACCTGACAAGCAAAGTCAATGGAGAACCCAGATTCATTTAACAACCATGTTACTAATTTGTTAAGTGATTCACTTAACAAATGTGGCAAAAAAGTCATAAAATGGAACAAATTCACTTAACAAATTTTTTTAACTTAACAACATAAATTTTGGGCTCAATTGTGATCGTAAATTGAGGACTATTTGTATACTAAGAATATTTAGTGTGATACTAGAAGTAACATCCAATCCGATTAAGTTATCTGATAGTTAAAGACATTGTTGAGTACCCATTGCAAAGAAAGCAGGTAGCACAACTGCTGGTGCTGTGGTTATGACGCCATAGTCCTGCATTACTCATATATAACAGGTAGAAAGTAAACAATGAGTACTTAGTATGCCTATGACTGCACCATCTCCACCACCATTCTGCAACATATCAACTCAGGTTTCTCTCAAGGAAAAGTGGGGATCTATGAACACATTTATTATAGAAGTTGCATTTTGAAAAAACATAGAAGGGCTGACAGAATTAGAGCAGGATTATGCAAAGGAGAAATGTTTGAATTCCTCATGTCTACTGGATTCTGTGCTTATCATTACCAGCAGTTCCCCTTACAAGTCAATTTGTATTCAGAGGTGGGAGAGAGAGACATTAGTTCTGGGGTTACATACCTTCCTCCTTCATACACCATAATTGCTGCCAAACATTGCTAATATATATGTGTAATTTATCAAATCCAATCACACATTGAAAATAAAGATTGGTTTTCATACACACACACACACACACATATCCTATACGGCAGAGGTAAATATTTTTATTTACATGTGTGTATGTGTGTGTGTGTGTGTGTGTATACCTTGTTTTTGACAAATCTTTGGTCCCTCCTGGTAACATCTTTTTCTAAGCAGAAACAAATCTGTTACTTGACAATCTGTTTTAGAACCTTGCAGAGTACAAACGTCAAATTAACTGTTCTGTATTCTCCTGCATCTTCTTTCTTCTTCTTTTTGAATGTTGGGATTTTCTTGCTGTTGTCCAGTTTTTCATTATTATCACTTCCAAAAAAAAGTTCCACCACTTCTCCAACAGCTGGCATCTGATTCACTTGTCCCTACAGATTTGACATTTTGACTTAAGGTTATTTTTCATTTATCATCCTTGAGGTGTGTTAATATCTTTTCCTCAGAAATATTAAAAATAGCTTTCTGTCCCATAAAGAATATATATTAAGTCATTTTGCTTTCTCCTTACTTTCTATTACTACTTCTCTGCACAGTAAATTAACAGTGATTTACTGCAATATTGTACTTTTGACATTCTCTCCAAATTTCCTTATATTTTGAAAGCTTCAAATCAAACTTATTTCTGAATTTCAGTCTTTTTTATTCCACCTCTATAGGTTTTAGTTATCCTTTAGAGTAGACTCCTCCTTTGTTATTAGTTTCTATTTTGTTTCTTATACTGTTTATTTCCTATACTGTATATCTTCTTTTTGCTTCTCAGCTTGCTTTTGAATTATTCTTATCTATCCATTGGGGTGTTTTACAGTTATTCCAATTTTTCCTTGTTGGGATAATAGTGTTTGAATTTGTTATTTCAAGATGGCATTTTTGAGGTCTCCCTTCTCTATTATTTAGGATTTGAGTCATATGAGGTTGTTTAGTTTTTTAGCCCAATATTTCCACTGTGGTTATTCCACATTGCAAAGGGTAGAGACAAAGGGAAAATGCATCCACAAATTCTTCATAAGAGGGCTTTATGTGATTCTTGGTTGCACAAAGATGTTTGTAGCCTACAGGTAAAATTCCTATAGCTCAGAATTTATGAGCTTCATCTGAAAATGGAGGTGGCAAAAACTAAACCTCAACTATGACAAAATACCCAACAGGAGTTTTTATATAGTTTTAATTATTATTCTTTAACCATGTTTCACCAAGAAGTAGTTCTTGAATTATAAAACAGTTTGCTATTGAGATTTAAATTATCTATGTGTATTTGTGTGTGTGTGTGTGTGTTTCTCCTGAGTCAAGAGTATAATTAGCTATATATTCTTGGGAACACTGAATTCAGTGGGATTTAATTCTAGTTAGATGCATATACAATTAGTGGTTGAATTATTTATTATTAAGTTTAGTAAGGATTGTTTACTTTAAAAACCTTCCTCATCTGAACTCAATGGGTAGAAATGATTGGAGGTGTTGATGTGCATCCCAGCAGAATGTAAAACTGTGGGGTTTTCTGTTGCCTTTTCTCAAAGTATAAATAGTAACTTTATTTGGCTATGCAATGTCATATTGTCAGTTTGAGTAAAAGCTTTCTCACAGTAATTTTAAAGAAGAAAAAAATAGGTCAATATATGTATTTCTCCCTTATATTATTTGTTACTAATATTCCTTTTGAAAGCTAGCCAGCATATACTATGTACTGAAAAGCTATATAATTAACTTGCAGTTCAAATGAACGAACTGGGTTTTGTTCATGTTACAAAGAATTTGGAATATCATGTTTAATTACTTCTGTCTGTATCACAAAAATATAGGCCTTTTGTTTTTGCATCCTTTGTCCCTTGCTTTGAGAATCAAATTATAATCATAATCAGATTAAATCTAGTATTTAAACGTACTAAAAAGGAATGTTTTTTTTTTATTTTTTCAGCTCAAACTCTCTTTTTCTCCCTTACTGGAGAATATAAGTAGTGATTAAATAATCCTTTAGAGAACTAAACATGTGCAAAGAAGTAAAGTATGAGATAAAGCAAGAACTGAAAGTTTATTAATTTATATGTCTAATGCAGGGTAAAATATGATTCCTTAAAATTCTGAAACTTCATTAGTGTACCACTTTAAACGTAAAATCAGAACTGCATGAAACGATCAGAAACATGCATTGATTCCAATTTCCTATTAAACCCATGCTTATGTACTAATCAAACAAGCAATCTATAATATTGGGGACTCCATTATTATATAGGATTACAATATTCTCATTCATTATGCATATGTTCAAACTATTAAAAGTCAAAAGACTTCAAAAGAGAAGTAAACACCCTTTAAAAACTTCCAAAATATATTTTGACAGTGTCAGACTAATGCTGGTTTTGACAAATCGCTGTCTCCAAAT